ATGCAAATAATATTTGATGTAAATTCTGACCCTATTTGTTCCTTACAGCACGGCGGACTTCCCCGCGCACACGTCCCTTAGGACGGATTTTAGTAGTTAGAGTGTGTTTTCTTGCTGGGAATTCTTTACCGGCTGTCGCACATGTTAACATGTTAAAATGTTTGACAGGAATATTTTACAATCGACTACCAGCAATTCCCCGCCGATTACCCTAGTTTTTGACGCGTCCACAATGCACCAACTTCATTGTGCATTCGCACGCATGCGCACTACGCGACTTTCCCTTTCAGACCTATTTTGATCGTTTAGAACTTTAGAATATCTGGCTATGGAAGGAATTTCATGACACAACCATCTACTCGCCTGCAGCGAGGAACACTAACCGGTGCATGTCAACATTGGAGCTTTACCTGTCTTATATAACTTCTTACTTTATTTCTGCTCTTTTGTTCTTCCTCTGTAGACCTACCCTGACAACGACGACGAAATACGAATTAGTCACGCCCGGGTACGGCTTCTTCGTCCGAGGTATATATTTTGCTTACCTATAGAGTGAGATAAAAGTTTGACTTACCTATAGTGAGGCGAAACTTTGACTTACCTAAAGTGAGGCAAATATTTGGCTCAGCTATATATATATATATTGATAGGTAACTAAGTATGTCGCCGTAACAAATTCCTGCTCCAAGCCCGTGTCTAAAGTCGGTAAACAATACTGATAGCTCGTACCACTGGATGTTATTCACGTAAGGGTTTATTGTCCCAAACAGATTCAAACCTGTTGAGAACCAACAACTGCATTTTACAAACGATACTTTTGCATTTCAACATACAATGCAGTTTACAACTACTATACTAGAAAGTGTGAAACTAAAGATTAATGATGGTCTACTCGACGTAAAATGGCCATCAAGGCAACTCCTACAAACAGCGTGACATTGCTATTCACCAAGGCAACTTTGTGATCAGATTCTATAGCCATACTCCACGCATGCAAAGTCGCAGACGTAACGGTTGTAAATGGCAATTGAACAAACAACACAACCTTCTTACTACAGTGGCGGCATTTACTTTGGTTCCTGATAAGTGTGCAGCAGTAATGCCATACTACTCGCGCCCATGCTATTATTTACAGGGATACACATACACGCCCGTACCGAACGTAAACACACACACAATGATAATTATCTGCCTAAAAGCCTCCACCCCCTCAGTCCCTATCATACTGTCATATAACTGCTTAATTGGTCCAAGCCCTTCGTGTGAATGGTGTTCTATACTCAATCACAACATTATAAAAAACAGTGATATCTAGACATATAACATTGATTACATCCTGCTCACCAGTGGCATAGCATAACTATTGTCGATGGTAGGCCTACAAGCCAAACCGGTTGAAACTTTGAAATTTAGGCAAAATCACTGCAAGCTAAATCATCTCGTGGCCACAGGCACTTGAAGCGTTTCAATAAAATATAATGCTAAATAAATACGAAATCTATTTACTACCAAATTCTTAATGTTTCTATAATCTCTTTCACCTATTATTGCCGACAGTTTCCTGTAAATTCCGTCCAAATCCTATTTGCAACATGCGTTTGCGGCCGCCATTCCTCACGCACCCAACGTCATATTGCCAACCACATGCCAACCATGACCGTGCCAACGTTGGCCCAACGTTGACCCAACGTCATATTGCCAACCGTGACCGTGCCAACTAAATGCCAACGTTGGCCCAACGTAAGCATGCTATCTGGGCTGGTTTCACGATTTGCTGCGCTGGAATCGAGCTCCTATAGCATCACTCAAAAATGCTGAGAACATACTACATACTACTTTTTCGTAGCTTTATTTATGGCATTATGTTTTGCGTCACACATGTTTCTATATTTAACTATATCTGTGATATGTATGTAAGAGTTTATGACATGATCGATCTCGTGGTGTATGACTCATTAACGTTTCACTCGTTGCATTACCAAAAGTTTTTATAGTGCATTAGAATATGGCCAACGTACTGCAGGCGGGTTTGCAGGATTATATAAATTTAAGTATTTAAAAATAAAAGCATTTTGCACATTACTCAATCTTACACATTTCGTTTTAGATTTTCTATATGTTTTTCGATTTTAATCACCATTTACAGTAATTACCTTTACTATTACGGCGATACGCTCGCTCACTTACACATAATCATTTGTTTTTAGGCAAATCATATGAACGATGAATAAGAATTCCATGGGTCCTCGGGTGTGTGCGTTGTGCTTAACTTTGTCTCCCTCCCGGAACAAAATTGGTTAGCTCCTGTATCGCGACATCGCTTCATGTTATCGCGATACGATAAAATCGGGTTCATCAACAGTTTATAATGAATTTAATCATTTTAATCATTTTTGTTATGAAGGGACGAATTAAAAGTTCTCTCGTTGAATTCCATGTGAGAATTCTATCTAAAAAGTCCTTGTTTCTCTATATTTATTTATTTATTTACTTATTTATTTAAACTGTTAAATGCAAGTCTACGATGGATCACGCGTGATGAGCGCGTGAACGACGGATCACGCGTGATAAATTATGAAATAACGGTCGAATTTTTAATATCTTTGCAACTTTTATTAGTCCAAATCTTATTACATAGGATACGAGTAACGTGCCTGCTGTAAAACTTGTAGTAAAAAAGCGTTACAAATTGTAACCGAAATCTGCTTGTGGCAGTGGTAGATTGAGCCCATGAGCGAGAGCGCCATCTGTCGTGGAGTTTGCCATTGCTCCGCTCCTGTGGCGCCATCTACCCGACGGTGACGCAAATTCTCTGTCTGGTGAATACAAATACTAATATTTGCAACTTAAAGCTTTATACTAACAGTTATACATGTAATGACGTAAATATCGAATTAATTAACCTAGTAGAAAACCTAGCGACACGGGTCGTTTAACGTTAGCATAACGTCATAGTTATTTTAGTCAAAAATAGCCCAATGTAACAGCAAGTGAAAGTTGTCCTAAGAAAACCCGTATCACTGGAACGACCTCGAGAGAAAGATACGTACGACACAGCAGGACGTCTACACTGGTGCGAGTTTACGACCATTATTAGGCCGACGCACGCCGCACCAGGAGAAGAAGTGAAAGTATGACACAATGACATTTTGAAAGTTATCACCTTAACAAGGCTGAGAGAAGCATCTCCACTGGTTGATGGCGCGTGCCGACACATTAAAGAACAAACAATCAAACACCGCCGACCAATGTGAACTATGAGAAACATTTGAGAACATGAAATGAACCGCCGCGATTTCCACACGGCCCAAGGTGACGACTTATGACAAACCGTTGCCGCAGGGCGCGTGGCTCGCACGTGCCGCGCGCGTGCCATAACAGAAGAAAATAAATAATCGAGTGACACAGCGAGACCTCTAACATCAGTGTCGCACAGATTTTATAACCCAAGCCGGGGTTAATGTCGTGCGATAATTCACCATTGGCGAGCCGAACACGCCTCGTGCACGTGGCAACAACGATATGGCACTATGACATTTTAGTACCCATAGAAGGCTACCCGACAAGGGCGTCGAGAAACATCTATCGATGCCTCCACAATATCTACAAGGACTCCGACCGTCGTTCTCACGCTAGAGAAGGAAGTCTCTCACCTTCAGTTGTCCATAAAATTCTGGAGAACGACACAGGATTGCACCATCATGCAACTAGGCCTTGACCACACTTGGACCATGCATTCCTTACAGATGCATAACTACCGAACACTTTGGACAGAGAGACAGACACAGTTCCACGGTGCTAACAGTTCTCGACGCTGTAACCACCAATACTGTGCTCTCGCTCTTGCTGCTCGCTGCTACCGTTGCCGCCGGACACCGCCGCCTGACGGAAGACTCCACGCTCGTAAATATAAACTGCATTTGTAAACCAGTCGCTTTGTCTGTGATGTGCTGCGCTGTATAAGAAGATTCAGGGGCGGATCCGGGGGGGTCGAAGGGTCCGGGACTCCTCTTTTTACCCACAAAAAAGGAAATAAGAAGCATACCACAGTGCCGGCACGCCGACGCACCACCGCACGCCGCAGCGCACACAATAACACCATGGCATGATCACGGCATCGGCCCAGCGTGCCTCACGCCCACACGTCTCCCTGCTCCCTCGTCCGCGCAACACGCGGCCACGACACCCACATAGCACACACAGCTGACATACACATCCTCCACGCCGGCTTCCTCCTCCACCGAATTCTCCCCCTGCTCTACCTCGCTCCCTATTCTTTCCATTTCTCCTTCCCCACGCACCTCCTCCAACACACACACTCTCCAGTTCTCCAACCCACAACAGTTCTTCCCCCTCTTGCTACTTCCTCACAAAACATCACATCTCCACCACACACCACCACACTCACCCGACACTCACCAACCATACACTAGACACACCCAGGAAACACCAGACATACCGTCTTCTCAGAGCAGAACACACACATCGTGCATAAACAACACACTACGCATCGCACGGCCTG